TATATGCTACTTTAATTATAACATTAGCACTGTACTTTAACGGTAACGAAATCACAACTTACTTGATACGCAATAAAAAATATAAGAAATCAAGGATATCAGTTTTGAGCGCAGAAAGGTTCCACGACATGAGCTAACTCAATGAACAATATTTAATGAAGCAGCATCCTTTCTTTTATTGCAGAGGTGGACGAAGGTAGACCACCCATCAAGGTCAAATTCGAAATTCCTTACTTTACAGTATCTGGCATTCAGGTAACAGTCGAACAATGTGTCTGAAATTTTAAGAATCATTCGAGGAATTTTTTTGGGCACAAATGTTTTAACTGTATTACCCACTTGTGTGGTGGCATAAAACTTCAGTGCTTTCAATTATGGAGATTTCTTCCCATTTCAAGTTCGCCTATAATTTAAAGGAACTGTTTTGCCTTTCCCTAGAGTTTCTCTTTGTCCAAAAATACTTTGTGTTCTGCTCCTATAAAGCAGATTACTTGTTTCACTTTGCAGGATATTCAATATTATATCTTTTTTCTGATAATGTAGCTAGTGTTACACAGTATACAACGAATGGCTAACGCTCGAAACGTCAGAATTTCATAATTCGCTGTGTTGGTTTACGTACCTTGGTCAAGTTTTAGCTGATGACCAACTAGTTGTTTTACTCACCCGTCGACGAAATTTCTTTAGAGACTGTTCACCAAAGTCGATTTAATCTGATATTTGCGCAGTGCGAGATTTCTAATGGAAAACAATGGCGACAAGACGTTTCATGTGTGTCGTTCGAATTTCACTATTAATGTTTGTGCTTAGTAGTCTAAAACTGAATAAGTTTGTCCAAGTTGAGTCGGTTGACAAGCAATCAAATGTTGTATATGCATGTTTAGCTGTTACGTCAACAGGTATTTGATAGTATCATGTACCAAGAACTAAAACTTATTATTACCGGATAGGTCCGTTATCTCAAGATTATAGAAAAGAGCGGCTACCAAGCCCTTCCTTGGGTTCGTTACATCACCCAAAATGGAGGTTAGTCGACCCTTATCAACAAATTGTATGGAATAGAGGGCTTTTCGATTGACTGTTGTTATCACAGCGGCAAATCTGAAGAAAGGAAATACCTTAACTCTCTACACCCTAAGATCAGTAAAGGTATTCTCCATACTGTTCCCCATACATTCTTTAAGGTGCTGGCAAGGAGAATTTGTGTAACAATCAACAGTTTATTTTGCTGCTGATAATTTTCTTTATTCTCATGGCCTTACTGTATGATTCAGGGGTGATATTGTAAGGAGAAAGTAGATGTTGGTCACTCTTCGGGGTAAAGGGGTCACAGAGCAAATGAGACCTCAAAGTAAAAACAAACAAACCGCCAAAAGCGCGGGAAAACGCGGGCGACCAAGTCGTGATTGGATTTAGTTTTACACGTGATTGCCTTAAAGAGTGGCGTGAGTTTTCTGGACCAATCACAGAGCGAAGTAATGCAAAACCAATGCAATCCCGAATTACTTTCGACACAGTTGAGAATTGTTCTAAATGAATTGCCTTGAGAGCTGTGCTTTAGTAGAGTATTTATAAATTTTAAGATTGTCACAAGTTGCAATAAATAAACCTGGCGCTTAAGCTGAGCACGGAATAGTATACATGTGCTGCCAAGCAAAAGAAAAAAATTATGCAACTGTTGCCTAGTACTAAACATCGTGTACTCCGCAATGTGTAATTTGGAGAAACGCTCTTTACCTGAAACAAGGTGGACCTCTACGTTAAGTTTTTCCGTGGTTATGGTAACACTTTAAACACATCAACCGTATTTCAAAGCAAACTTAGTTGCACTGAGGAGCGAAGTGATTTGACTTAGCCTTGTACTAAGAGCAGTCCATCCTTGACGTTGAAGTTCTGAGCGGTGCGCTAGCATCAATTTATTTTTTCCTTTTTTTTCGCTGATTTTTTTCACTCGCGCAACGGACTTCTCCGAAAAAGAGGGAAAGGGATGGACAGCTCTTAGCTTAACGTAACCAGTGTTTTCGGGAGCAGAATTCATTATTTACTTCCGTTTCGTTACTTTTCGTTGCGAACGTTGCTAGGTTGTTTTAGGATGCAACCCACTTTAAAATTCATTTCTTTTTCTTTTGCAGATTACCAGTTGAGAACAACATGAAAAAGAGAGGCCGCACCTTCCATGTACAACATTAAATCTATCTTGTGAAGACATTTGCCGATGAGGAAAACTGAAAAAAGAGAAATATTAGATATCCCCTCCTTTGTTCTTGCTAGACAATGCACTGTCCACACAACCGCTCAAGAGCAGCGACAAACTTAGAAGCTGGAGGTTTTTATTTTGATATAACGCTAAGTTCTCACAGCCAATTTATGAGGAAAGATATAGCAGCTTAAAAGGAGAATTACGCATTAGATCGCTGAAGTTTAAGAGACGTCATACCAAAAAAGGAAAAAGAAAAAGCTAGTTTAACCTTTTCAACCCTAAGAGTGATCAGCATCGTATTTCTCCTTTCCCTCTCATTGCTGAATCATTTATTAAAATGATGAGAGTTAAAGAAATGATCGCCAACCTAACAAGCTTTGATTGTGTAGCAAATTCTCCTTTTCACTACCAAAAGAAATGTAAAGACAGTGGTATGAAGAATATGGATATTGATTTTAAGGGTTAAGTTCGAGAATGAAAACTATAAAGGAGTTAGACAGAATCAAGTTGAATGCTCTTTAAGTAATAAATCATACGCTTCTTGTTGTTCAGTTAGAGATCTCATTCGGCAAAATCTTTAGTAAATAAAGTATTGGCATTTTTCGTAAACGTGATCCAGGTACTGTTTCTCTCATGAGTACTCACGTTCTTTCTGTGATCTTAAAGTGGGTTTTTAAGTCAGCAAGTACACTAAAGCTACTGTAACATTTACACAGAAAACAGTCCCTATAAAGAGCGCAAATGAGCTCAGCTCCAGGTCGACGGAAGCCATTTCTTTCGAAAGGAGAATTGCTTTCCAAGAGAAAGTGAACCCCACTGTGAGCCCCACCCTCCCTTCCCCTTGGCGCGGTATTTCTATTTTCTTCAAGAATCCTGGGAGAGAGAACCCGATAGGGCAAAAGGCAAAAGACAAAAAGAAGGAAACAAATGTAATGAGAAAATGGATAAATACGGGAGGGAGTGGAATCCAAAAGAACCTTCCCTGGTCCATCCTTCATTTTTTTTTTCTTTTTGCTTCTTTTCGCCCGTTCATTTGACGCAACATTCGCTTCGGCCACTTGGCTTGGAGGAAATGGAACGCAAACGCATGCGAGAGTCGAGTTATCAGAACTAGCTTCAACCAAACACTTAAACAATTACAGTAAAACCTCCCATATGTTTTTATCTTTTAAGCTCATCGACCACTGTCCATCGACCACTGTCCAGCGCCCTTGCTATTTCATTGACTGCCCAACGTAGTTAAAAATTGTACTCTCTTAGGAGATGGCCTGCGCTGCAGAGGCTCCGCGAGAACGGACTGACACTATTAACACACGTGAATGGCCTTCGTGCGGGACTTCTCGCTCGCGCGTTTTAATCCGAATCACCCGCCCACGGTCAAACTGAGCCCCTGGAACGCAGGCTAATCTGGGAGAGCCGTTCCCACTAAGTGGTTGACTTATTGTAACCTATCGCTACAAAAATAGAAATTGATCACTTACACTTTGATTGGTCTTCAGAAGTAGTTGATCTCTTAGAAAGAGGGGTGAGTTGAGAAATACACAGAATTCTTCTTTGTTAAAAAAATTGCAGTTTATTTTGTCTTTTAACCCTTTAACTCACAGAAGTGATTAAAATATATCTTCTTCTAACGATATCCATACATTTATACAGTAAACAGGTAATGAGAATACTCAAAATTATCAGGTAGAACTCATAATCTTGATTGAACAACAAATTCTTGTTGATAATTTACAAGGAAAGGTGTAACTGCTACAGGGGAGAATTAACAAACAGATCTTGAGAGTTAAAGGGCTAAAAGGCCTATCAGCTCAATGCTACTCTGATTACAACAAACCTACACGTATAGTAAGGCCTGATAAACAAATGGATTAAATAAACCTTTACCACAACAAAATGGAAATAAACTTCATCAATCAGGCCTCCATAAAACGGAAACAAGAGACAAGTTTACAAAAGAACCAAAAATAATTTAGGAGAAAAACAAATATTTGATTACACACTTTAAAAATATTCTTATGAAACCGTTCCTAATAAAGTTCATAACACCCTATCCTGAGGCAATTTACTAAAACATCCAAACTGTGAATGAAATTGCAAAGAAAACTCTCAGAGCAAGCTGACCATCTAAGTTATGAAATATTCAATTTGCACTGGCATTAACACTAGTGCTTAATATTTATCCCTAAATTCACACTACTAATAAAGCAGCAATTTATTCTTAATTTTCCCTGACAAATTTTCTTCATGTGTACAAAATGTTGTTTATATTTCCTGCCTCACTATCATTAGTCACTGACTAGAATATCTTCATTCCCAGGTCCTCTCTCTTCCCACCAGCAATAAGAGAGAAGACCTAGGAACAAGTTTGAGTGGACTTTTCACCAGCAGTTTCTATATGAAAACTGAATGATGCAATTGAAAAAACCTAAAGAGCCAAGGAAAATGGCCCTTGATTTTGTTACAGTTTTGTTGAGTGCTGCACGATGAAAACCACAGTTCTACCGCAATGACTGATAATAAATATATAAGAGTAAACACCACAAAACAAAACATGCAAATATCAGTACCCTACCTCAAGCAGCTTTCAATAACTTTGGTTTTACTTTTGATGTCATGCTTCACATGACTGTATAAATTAATTCTCTACTTCAATCATACAGCTTTGCTGAATGGAAAAATGCAATCCTGGACCCTTTTAATTCTTCCCCTAAGGATCTCATTAGTAATTCTCCTTGTTGTTAGTTCAAAGAATTTGATAGTAGATCAACTACCAATCCCCTTATTTTTTTTTCCTCTATTCTCATAACTTGTCTGCTTGATATTGTATTGATATTGTAAGGAGAAATTCTAATATGACCACTAATAGGAGTTAAGGGTTAAGAACTCAAGTCAATGCTAGTCTAAAAACAATTCAGTGCATGAAGTGTGGGCAGGAAGTGCAGTTTGAGTCTTATTACCTTCTATCTTAAGTTTGACTGGTGGAAATGTGTGTTATTTCTTAACAAATTACAATGCCTGTACACAGCAAAACTAACCCTGACACAGAATTATTTGCAACAGTTATTTTCAACTGAGGCAAAACTACAGGACAGGAAAAAAATACAGACTATTAGCTTTCTTTTATATTACAAAAATTGCGACTTTAAAGTCATTATTTGTCAAGATGGTATGGTGCCATTTTGACTCTGTAGCCGGGCAACATGGACATAAATCTTTAATGCAGGACCTAACTTGATTGACATACCAGTCAACACATCATTCCTTGACATCAGAAGCAACGCTTTTCCATCAATTTCCTGCAAAAGACAGGAGAAGTTTTAACCCTTTAACCTCTAAGAGTGATGAGCATCTAATTTCCCTAAAGAGTTTCACCACCAAATCTCTTGACTATCCATACAATTCAGCCCAATTCCTGCAAGTCCAGATAACAGAGGTTCAACTGTGCCAGTTAAATACTGAGTGCAGTCACCTGATTTTGAAAGGACTTTGCCTCTTCTGGAAATCCTAAAGAGCTGAAAAATGACACAACCTCTGTAACAGTCCAAAGTGACGTGTCTGGTGGTAAATTGCTTTTGCTTTTTTCTGTATCTTTAGCTGAATCATGAGCTCCACCTGCTCCTTTGATAGGGGTATCTGTCAAAGTCAAAAAGAAAAACACTCAATTGCATAGTAAACATACAATCAAAGGATTATCGGAGCAACCTCATTGTTAAAGTGTCATGAGTAACCCTCCTTGTTTCCAGTAGTACACAAATGTATCCAAAAATCTCAAAAGCTATGCAATGCCTACTGTCAAATATCAAAGCCCACCAAAAGAGGTCAACCACGTGTTACCATGGGAAAACGAGCCAGTTGCTTATGACAACAACATGATTTAACATCAAGACCAAAACTTCTATTGCACTTCATGCAACTGAAATCATGGCAAAATTTTCAAAGCATTAGCTTATATATGACTGAATGAGGGGGGGAGGGAGGGGAACGTATTACCCCTTGGTTATTTTGTGCAACTTGAAAACTGGGATAAGCTCTGGCTGTGTGCTATGCACAAATATAGACTTAACCTTTCTACCTCAGTTTAAAGTCCATCATGTAAATCACTTACTGGGCAAACCATTAACAATGCCCTTTGTTCCTGGATTTGCAGACGAATGAACTCCATTGGATTGACTGTGACCTGTCTGCAAATCACCATTTGATCCTCTTGGAGGTACCAATGAGTTTGTTTTGTTGTCACTTGAAGCTTCAGATTGGCTCAGCATTTCAAGTTCTCTCTGAACATTTTCAGCGTCAACTATCAGAGGAAAAGTTAATAAGTCAACAATCAGTGCAAGTGATCAACATGTAACTTCTCCCTGGGATATCCACACATTATCCAGCAAACAGGCAATGAGAATACTCAAATTTATCAGGTAGAAGTTGTTATCTTGATCTTACAACAAAATCTTGTAACTAATTTACAAGGAAAGGGGAAGGGAAGAATTAACAGTCAAACCTTGGGAGTTAAAGGGTTAACTTTCAGACACAACAACATTTCAAGTGTTCCTTAACATTATCCACTTTGATTTTCCTCACCTTGGATATGAATATCTTTCACTTCAACAGTACATTCCCCCATTTCTTCATCGCACTGAAGAGGTATGTCATCACCCATCACATTGTTGCCAGCTTCTGACTTTGAAATTGCCTCATGAGTCACAAAATCACTGGATTCGGAAAGACGTACTGGATTTATTGGATGATTCTGGCAATTATAACAAACCCATTTTCCTGTTGAAAGGAAACCAGAAATAAAATAATGGCAATGTGGAATGGTAAGCATAATGAAACGTCACTAATATTTCTTTCAAAAATTGTTTATTTTCAAAATCAGATTTTTCCATTTCTGCTATAGCTTTATTTTTTTTTTCTTGTTGTATAGAAGTTGGCAAAATATGATTCTAAATTAGATTAATGTTTTCCTCTTTTGTGTAAGGATTATCATAATTATAGAGATATAACTGGATTGAAGAAAAAAAATCACGATACGTTTTTTAATATCATGTTCTCTTAGATTCATTTTAGAGTACAAATTTAAAAAGCTTCTATATGTTGTTTCAAACCTCTCTTTCTTTCTTATCACTTTTATTGTGCATTTTGGAGGAATTGTTGGTACTCAGTATTAGATTTCTAAATTAATGCAAAATCATATGGTGAAAATCTTACCAATAGGCATAGTTTCAAGTGGAGGGACATGACATTGCATGTGATAACCCTTGTCACAGGCATCACAGAATAATAAACTACCCTGAAAAAAATAATACAAAAGAATAAGTGACACTTTAATGAGGAATTCAAAGATTGGTCCTGCACAAGAGCTGGGTAGGTCATGCAACCACAGCTTAAAGTACTCTCCACCTCTTAGAAGGCATGTTAATCCACACCAGGTTTTTCCATGCACTCCCCTGCGTGTTCCTAGGAGCTTGCCTGAACTTCCTCACATTTCCTAAATGGTTTGGCAGAAGTTACTCACAAGAGTACTCCTCTGAGTGAAGAGGCATGTTTGGGGTAAATTTTATCACCAGGCAACAAAACTTTTTGATTCAGAGTCCACAGTCTATACATATGTATGTACACAATAATTCGAGAAAATTATGGCCAGAGGGTGTTTTCCTTTAGAGTTTTGCACCGTTGGTGTATTCAGCATACCAAATTTGTAAGTTACCATGTTCTTCTGAACTTTTCCAGTAGCCAGGCAGGTAAAATTTATCTCAGATACAGACAAGTGTGTTACTGCTTTGTCTAATTATAGTAGCTGGTGTTTCAAAAATAAGTGGTCAGAAAAATTGGTGCCTGCCAATGCTCCTGGAAAATACTGGGGTTAACATCCCACATTTTTCATAAGAATGACACAGCTACATCAAATACAATGTTCCACTTTACACAACCTCACTGTATAACAATGAATCACTCACAGGATCTCCACTGTCGTTACATATAATACAAGCTTTACAGTCGATGCACTGCCATGCACTGGCATCTGAGGTAATTCTAAGAACTAATTCAGGTGTGTAGTTCATACAACTTGGATGGGCTGCAAAAAAAATGTTAAAACAATTCCAAATTAGTGACAAGAAATTCCTTCAAATTATCCACAAGTGAAACTATTCACTAACTTAACCCTTTCACTCCCAAGATCTAATTATTAATTCTCCTTACTATCTGCCATACTATTCTTATGATGTTAGTTCAGAGAATTTGGTATTGGATCAACTTATAATCCCATGATTGATATTCTTCTCTATTCTCATCACCTGCCTGCTTGATATTGTATTGATATTGTAAGGAGAAATTCTATCTTGGTCACTTATGGGAGTGAAAGGGTTAAGGGAACAATTAAGTTTTTCTGAAGATAACAGCGCTAAGCCTTACCTTGGCTCAAACCAAGATTTTTTTCATCTAAGTCCAAAAATTTAGATGTAAGAATAGTCATATCTGTTTTAAGCAGTCACCTACAGGGATTTCAGTACAGATTGACCACTTGCATGTAATGCAGGTTTCAAAATTGGGTTAACAAAACAAAATAATAAAAAAAACCACCATTTTATGCCACAATTAACCACTAATTGTACAAAAACTCCCTCTAAAATTCTACTAACATTGATTTCAGGCAAGAAATATGGATCAAATTCTACTTGAAAGGTTATTCTTAGTTTTATTTGAGGATTTTTGCTTTAAGGAACCACTCAATTCTGGTAAAAGAAAGTTCAAACGGGCCATTAGGACTCACTCTGAGGAAACCAACAGTGTTTAACCCTTTAACTTCCAGAGGTGATTAACATGAAACTTCTCATACAATATCCATACATTTTTCAGCAAACAGGTAATGAGAATATTCAAACTTATTAGGTAGAAGCTACTATCTTGATCTAACACCATGTTCTCATAACCAATTTACAAGGAAATGGGTAGCAGCTAGAGAGGAGATTTAACAATCAGATCTTGGGAGTTAAATGGTCAATAGAGGTAACTGTTTCAAAGAGGTGAAAATTACTGCGATTAAGGGAAAGCAACTGACAGCTAAATACAGGTTAGACTGTATTACAATGATAAAGAAATCTCCTACTGTCACAAATAAAAAGTTTTGTATGTGTCTTGACAGTTTCACCCAAAAGAGTGACCACCATCTAATCTCTCTTCACAACAACAACAACTCTGAATCAAACATTAACATCACATAAAAAAAATCGATCACCAACTTAAGAAGTTCTTGATTGTTAACCAAATTCTCCTCGTCAGCACTTAAAAAATTGTATCAAGAACTGATGTAGGGGTAAAAGAGTTTATCCCCAAATACCTTTGTTGCCACAGTCCCTACAAATCAGTAAAGCTTCTGGCTCTCCTTTCCTATTTGCTGCTGCAGATTGTAGACAGAAATCACAAACTTGGTCACATGCTGGAATTTCTCTTTCAGGACTCTGAAAATCACAAAGAGAAGAAAAACAAAATTAAGATTAAAGTGCATCCTATGCCCTTAACCCTTTAACCCCAAAGAGTGACGAGCATCTAATTTCTCCTTACAACATCAACCCTGAATCATACATAAAGGTCATGAAAATAAAGAGGTTTAACCCCAACTCTTGATTGTTCTATTAACTCTTTAACTCCCAAAAGTGATCAACCTGTAACTTCTCTCTCTAATATCCACACATTAACCAGCAAACAGGTGATGAGAATAATCAAACTTGTCAGGTAGAAGTTGTTATCTTGGTCTGACATCAAATTCTTGAAACTAACTTGCAGGGAAATGTGTATTAGCTAGAGTGGAGAATTAACAGTCAGATCTTGGGAGTTTAAGGGTTAGCAAATTCTCCTTATCAGCACTTTTGGAAATGTGTAGAGAGCAGTGCTTTCCGTCATACATTTCTCATATTGTAACTGATTTACAAGGAAATGTTTACCAGCTGAAAAGGGGAATTAACAATCAAATCTTGGGAGTTAAAAACCAAGCCTTGGCCCCACCTCCTTTAAATTGCCAAGAATGAAGATCAATTTGATTTTTGAAATATCACCACAAAACAAAAGTAATAGTCAAAGGATTGAACAGTATCATCTGTTATTTTACCTAATATCAGTAAATTGATGATTATCATTTCTTTAAAAGAAATAACATTAATTTGGTTGTTTTCGCCTTCGATTCCTATCACACACGTTTACGCTAGCATAAAAGTTGTCTTTGTTATTTGTCTCCTACGTCTAGAAGGGTTAACTTTTGCTTTAAAATTTGACCAAAAAGTAAAAAAAGGAAAAAGCAAAGGATGATTATAATTGATGCGTGACGCGGAAATACTTGTCTACTTTACGAACGACTGTAAATGGCAAACAAACTTCGTGTAAGTATTAAGGACACGCGTAACGACTCTGCCTTGTAATACGGATTGCGAAGAGAAATCAGAAATGCCACATACACTAAGTAAGAGGAGTAAATTAGAATTGAGCAATGACTATGTTTCAAGAGAATGTCGAGTCTTATGCAAACGTGTTACACATGATGTATCGATTCTCCGCTGTTGTAGATGCACGCTTGATCTAATGATATTTCAACCGCGAATATTGCCCCTAGTTAACATCTGGCGACTTACCTCAGCTGATTCGAGTAACCGATACATGCCCTCGCTTATCGACCAGATTCTTCCATGATCTAAGTCTTCCTTTAGTGCGATCTTGATCCTTGCCTTCAAATTATGGTAATAAGGATGCCGAGCGGTGATGAATTTCTCAATATCTACTGCGCTGACGCCGTAACCACGATCTAGCGCTCGAATTGCTTCGCTTACCCATCGGGCGGCTCTCGAAACTTTGCCGGAACCTATTACTCTGTGCCAGCCAGATGCATTTCGATAAGAAATTGCCCCTTTAAAAGACCTCTTTGTCACTATGCCAGTAGCGACGAGCGCTGCTAAATCTTCTTCGGTATCTCTCTGATCAATTCCGTGACACTTGTGCATCGTCCGGCAAATTCGCTCCAAGTCGGGCCTGGATTTCCGACTGCGAAGCAAGTTGATGCATTCCAGAATCCAGTTCATATACTTCGGACGTTTTTCGGCCATATTGGGAACGGTGGGTTGGGATAGGACAGCAGGTGGAAGATTATTTTGGTTGCAGCGGACCGGAGGAGGTTTCGTTCTGCTAGAGAAACGACGAAAGCCCTTCTCGTTTACATACCGCAAGTGAAATGGTAATTTTCACGCAAAAATAAACCAAGCGCGCCGCCGCTATAACAAGCGCCCGCGATCTTGGCGTTGATTGAGATACCAACAAAACAAATGCGTTGACAGAATTTGTAATGGCGGCTCGCAGACTGGTAATGCGTACTTGCGATTTGCTTTTCTAGCTCTTTCTATCAACTTTCAAGCCTCCCAAAGCCTTCTACTTCATGGTTATGGATGCCAAACGGAGGGAGTGATTGGTTCCGTTGTGTCTCCTCGAAGATAATGTTAACAAATTTCGATAGATGTCAACATTGTTTTAAACGATGAATTATGCATATTCGGGCTAAAGTTTACCCCCGAACAGGAAATAGAGAATTTTCTATTTTTGAAAGAATGGATTTGATAAATGAATTAAAGTAATAGACTCATTGGGAAATGGAAAATTCTGACATTGCTCCAGAGTCGTCCGGAGAGAATCCAAATAGAACCTCTAACGGGAGACATCCAGACTTGCATCAGAAAGTAGAATCGCCAGTTGGTTCCCAAACTGAAGCGACAAGGGAACAAGAGATAACAAATATTCCCCACAAGAACAGATCTAAGAAGGAAAAAAAGGAGGTGAGATTTTACTTATCCCTTTAACCCTTAAGAGTGAGTTGCATCTAAGTTTTCCAAGCAGTATCACCCCTGAATCGCACATGAAGGTCTCAACGGAAATGTTCTTCAACTTAAGAAGCTCTTGATTGTTAATAAAATTCTCTCTGTCAAGACTTTGGGGAGCAACTTCAGAATACCCCGCAACTCATTTACATGTCATTGAATAAGAATAGTGTCTATTGTGTTATGCCTCGATCTTCAAAGCCTCCCGACACATGTAAGTGAGGCGGACCAAATTTGCGGGGTATTCTGAAGTTTAGCCGACTTTGGAAAATGTATAGAATTTATTGAGGAGAATATTCCTACTGAATTTTAGTAAGGGTGTAAGGGGTAATCATTCAATTTATACCCACTATTTTAATGCATGAAGATATCAAGTTTAATGATATTTAACTTGTAAGGATTAAATAATACATTAAGAGAATTCTCAATTCTTGATGGTTATCAAATGTTCCATCTAAAAATCACCTTGAAATATATGAGATATGTGTAATTCACCAGCCAAGAGGTCTGTATTAGGGAAAACTGTGCCTGAGACCTTGAAATTGAACTTTTAAAATGTCACTTAAGAAATTGAACTCTACAATGTTGAGATACAGTACTGCTTGTGTATATGTTAACTGAAAAATGCAAATTAAGTGTGTCAAAAATCGCATGCAATTGCATCCGATCTTAAAACATCTGCCTCATTAGTCTGTATGAGGTAGTCCTTTTGTTTTTCTATTGTTGGCAGTTTATTGCTTTAAAGAATAGGCCTCAATGTAGTAGCATTAAAATAGTACACAGCTACGAACAACAGGCACTTGTTTATTGCAATCGCCGTTCAAACCGACCTTCCCAATTTGCTATTACCAATGCAACTTCATAATCAAAATACATAAATGATTTATCATTTTCCTACAGAATTCATTTATCAAAATAGCTATTTCTCACTTCATATATAGAAACATCTGTTGCAACAGCTTAGGAATTTGTTCAAAATAAATTTAGTCTCAGTGTAATATATTGGCTGACCTAACTTCTAGTATAAGGCTAAAACAAATTTCCAACCAGTTTTTCAAGCAAGTAAATTTCTCATTCGTTACAATTCTTTCTTGCATTTCAATCTGACCCTGCAAGGAGAGCTGGGATTTTAGAGGTTTCTCTGACATTTTTGTGTATAAAGTGACTCATGTAGAGGTTTGTTTGCATGTCTTTATATGTGATAATGATTGTTGTCTTGCAGGAGAGTGGAACATCAAATGAAAATCAAAGAAGTCCAGAGGATTTGCTAAAGATAATAAAAGAACTGGAGTCTAAACATTTTGTTGTGCAACATGATAAAATGAAGGTGTGTAGCAATTATTGGGTTTGATATGATACAGAAGGAAGTCTATCATATTGTACAGTACCAACGAAATTAAGCTGTACTGGAAAAGACCTTTAGTTCTCCCATGGGTCAGTTTATTTTCCTGTGTCATACCATTGAGAAATTTCTTGAACTGATTCCCCTTGTGTCACTAATCCTTGTTATGTTTTGTGACTCCCTAAGACTTCTCTCAACTTAAGCCTTGTTGCCAGATGCAGTATCTAGTCAAATCCAGATAACTCAAACCTTCAAGGGAAATTAAAAGAGGTTTGAGTTATAGAGAGTTTGAACTACTGGGAGTTGGAAAAAAAAAAGTACTGGAAATTAGAGGGAAAAGGTGTTTCTGTGTATTTTTCTATTTAGTCAGGTCACATTTTATTGAAATATAATTATTAAGAAGTTAAACAAGAATGGAATAATAAATTATTGCAAAAATGGCAAAGTAATGTAAATGTTTTGGACTGCAGTGAACTGTTTGTTTTGATTTGTCACATGTTGACAGACATGGTTTGAGTTATGGACATTTAAGTGTATAGAGAATGACTTGAAGGGACAAAAGAAAAAATCTTGGAGTTAGAGAGAGGTTTGAGTTATCAGGGGGTTAAGTTATGGAGATTCAACTGTGTTTAGCTGGTTGATGCATGTTTTAGATGTTACATTAAGGCTCATTGATGGGAGATGGCATATTTATATAGTATTCAAATGTATTTAAAATAATGTATGATAATCAGCATGCAAGGTCTTAGAGAAAAAGAATTTTTTAAAGTTGTCGCCAAAAATAAGTGTGTTTGAGGTAAAAGCAAACTAGGATTCTCTTGAATACAATCAAACTAAGATTACAATGAGGATTAAATACTAAGGCTGAAATAAAAATTGAACAAGTTTGAAAACATTTGAACCACACCAGTGAAAGTGAACTGTTCAAGAAAAATATATCTTTTTTTTGTTCCTACTCGAAACATTTTAGCAACCAAATAAGGATGCAGAAGGTCCCTTTTACTGTGAGCTTTGTGAACTAAAATTGGCAGATTTGAAAAGATGTCAAGAACATGTGAAAACCAAGGGTCACAAGAGAGCAAACAGGGTGAGGAAAATGCCTTCTCTGACCAGATACATATACACAGTTGGTTGAGTATATTATTATGAATCAAACCTGTTTAAGATGACAAGATCTGATTGTAAAATCTGAAGTTTTTAGGTTTGAATCCTGTCTAAGACAGTCCTCAACACACCACAGAAGGAGCATTTGAACTTCTCTCCACTTTATGAGAAAGCTCAGAATTTGCCATCTTTTTTCCTCCATTCCTTTTCAGGACAGTTTCCATGTCACTGATTTTTGAAGTATACAGGTCATATAAACTAGATACTTGTACCTCATTAGCTACATGACTGTGCAGCTTAGTGTCAGTAAAGTGGTCAATCAAGAAAAGCCAGTAACTTGAAGTCTACTTCCACTTGTAAGACTTCTCACCATCAGCTGTTTAGCCTATTTCCCTCAAAAAACAGCCTCCCATTTTTTCAGAGTTTCAAGTTTTGACTGGAGATTAATTTGTTCCATACTCACACCAAACATTGGACATCTTCCTTGACCACTGAAATTTTAAACATGTTTGTTTTTGCTCACAGACCAAAGGAGAGTCTTTTTCGCTCACCCGGATTACCCCACCTTCTAAAAATCAAACCTTAGCTCTGAGCAAGCTTCTTGACTCTGTTTTCTTGGATCATGGATTATCCCCTGAAAAAGATCTACCTTTGAGGGGCAAAGTAGCAAAAGATGTCCATAAGGTTGTGTGCACCAAGTTTCCAGGTAATGTTGATGTTGATCATAACTTTGTTACACTGTTTGTTTCTTTTTGTTAACTTTATTCACTACCTTTCAAAGTTTTGCTAGAACAAGTTTCTCAGCAACTTTTGTGGCATCCAAACAGCCTACAAATTTTAAAGGGGGTAAGTTTCTAAAGAAACTGTGGTGCTGCGTCAGTGGGAGAGTATAACAGGGTAATTATGTGTAATCAACTGAGTTGCTATTGTAAATTGGCCACCATAAAGAGTTTTAAAACTGAGTGTTAGCCCTTCATCAGAGTGAATGAAAAAGGGCTAACACGCAAAACGTTAGCTTTAAAACTTAAAAAAATCAACTGAGTTGATACTACTAAATTTTTACTCTGCATAGGCAGGTATGTGAAGCCATGTTAAAGATTGTGCATTGTTTAATGGCTGGGAAAAGCTTTCAGAGTATTGTTGTGCATGTGCGTCTTTCATTATTTCATTATCTTTACAGAGTAGGTTAGAGTAGTTTTGGCTCTGGATCAGCAGAAGTGTTGATCCCTTACATTTTATTAAATTTTTGATGTTAAAATGTACCATATTTTGAACTCTTTTTTTAATAGAATGTGCAGTGTTCCTTTATGGATCTTCCTCCACTGGATTTGGTCTGAAGGACAGTGATGTTAACCTTGATCTTGTCATTCCAGATGAGGTAGCATTAGTTGCTCATGGTTATGCATAAGAGGTGGCAGTGACCAAACTTTTCCAATTACTTTGTAAGGTTTTATTAGCTACAATGTTTTTCACTCAAAATCAAGATGTATGAAGACATTTCATATGATAAGCTGAATTATACACCCATTTCTGTGGGTCTATACAGTAATAGATCTCAGAAGCTGTCAGGCTGAGTCTCATGTGCCACTCTTTTCCTTGTTCCACATTTCAAATGATGTAATTTGTGATCTACTAGGGAACAGATGCACGGCAACAAGGAATCTATTTGTAAAATAAAACACAATGAATGTAAAAGTTAATCCATGCACATTACCTCATCTCATTGTCATCAGCATTTGCTGGGGTCTGGAATTGAACAATGAACACTCTGCCTTTCAAGATACAACAATTACCAAATCTATCTTCTGACTCAAATATTTCTATATAGATAAGTGGTGTTTCATCAAGGTGACACCCTTTAGCTGATAAACCTGTCAGTTCTCACTATCTCATTACTGAATAATGTATTGAAATTGTAAGGAGAATTTACAGTTGAAATCAATACTGGGAGCTACTAACTCTACCTGGGTAAAAGAAAGCCCTTATTGCTACATGCATATAATATTCCTCTTGACTGTAAGTTTCAGGAAAAAAGCAGTGATGAATCAATCACATCTGAAGTGTTCTTTGTAGCTATGATATTACTGATAATATGATAATTATTTTATTTTATTTATACAGCTCAATGTGCCTCATGTTCTCCTGTCAATTTTGGAGCTACTTCAAAAAGATGGTGAGGCAAAATGCTTTTCTTGTTTGATTTGTTGTTGTTTTTGTTTGTTTGTTTGTTTTCGACCAAGCCGCAATAAGTGCTTACTTGCTACAGTGTAGGTCAGATCATGTATAAGACATCAGCATGAAAATAGATTGGGCAAAATATTTTATCAATGCAATTGGAGACCTTGTGATGTTGAGACAAAAACCTTTGGAAACAGGTATCTGCTCAGATCATGTGATTTGACTTGTAACCTTTTGTCTTGAAAATGAAAATTGTGGTGTGGAGAAAGGCTGGAAATAGTACTTAGCTGTGTGCCTAACAACTTATGCAAACTTCGCAGTACTAGGTAAAATGCATCTCTGAAGCACTTTTCAACTACTGTAAAAAAAAAAAAAACTCACACACACATAAGGAAATAGAATGAGCACCTTACTTGAATGTAGCTCTGTCAGAAATAACCTTTTGCACAAACTTCAGAGAAATGTTTAACCCTTTAACTCCTGGAAGTGATTAACATGTAACTTCTCACTCTGATGTTTTCTAGCAAATAGTTATTGATAAAACTCAAACTTATCAGGAAGAAGTTTTTATCTTGATCTTACACCAAATTCTCATGACTAATTTACAAGGAATTGTGTCACAGCAAGAGGAGAGAAGTAACAATCAGATCTTGCAAGTTAAAGGATTTGATTAAGTCTCAAAATTTATCACAGAATGCTTGAAACATTAGCTTTGAAACTCTTTATGGTGGCCAATTTATGTTAACAACACAGTTGATAATGCCAAATTACCTTACTATACTCTCCCACTGACTCAGCAGCACAGTTTCTTTAGAAACTTTCCCCCTTTATGGAGATGCAAAACTGAACCCATTCATGACATGTTCACCAGTGTTTTCCTGCACTTTAGACAGTTGGCTTGTTTTTACCTTGTTTAGTTCTCATTGGCTCTTAGGGGTATTTTTATTTCTTTTGATCTGCTGGTGTGATTACTTTCATTGGTTTTGGTTTTCTGATACTTAATGGAAAAGCATCCTGTCTCTGTGCTAACCACAAATTATTATTAACTCTTTACACCTTAACATCAGTATTCAAATTCTCCTTACTATTCTCTATACATTTCCTAAGGTGCTGATGAGGAGAATTAATTTTTTCTTTAACAATCAAGAGCTTCTTTGGATGGTGATCATTTCCTTCATTCTCATAACATAAATGTGTGATTCAGGGATGATATTGCAAGGAGAAATTAGGTGCTAATCACTCTTAGGAGTTGAAGAGTAAATAGTAACCTTTTTACCTCTATTTTAGACAAGTACTGCGATGTAAAAAGTGAATTTGATGCAAAGGTACCCAGGATATTATTCAAACATCTTTCAAGGTATTAACATCTAAACTTCATTCTATAATGACAATTGTTATTTAGCTGGTAGTGCCTGTGTTAAATATGAGGCAAATCCTGCCTTCTGATTGGCTACCTGAGTGGGTAAGATGGGCCTATCTTGCCCTCTTGGGATTGCCTGCTTTGTTCCTGTGCTTGAAAAAAAGCTGCATGGTGGGGACTTACATACCAGTAGTTTGTAATTTTTGGTTAATTTGAGCAATGGAGCTGCAAAAAGGGGCAGAAGATAGTCAGAACAAAGAAAAAGTGAATGATTATCATGAGGTTATTATGCCACAAAAACGAAAAATACAAAATTGAAGAACAAAATGACAAGAAAGCTTGGAAGTGGGTTTGTCTCGCAGAAAATGAGACAAGAAGTTAGTTTTTTAAATGTAAAGAAAACCTAACAAATCCCCTTATTTTTTAATTTGTCAAATGCTCCTTCACAGTTGGCTCTTTCCTAGTGCTGGAAAATAAGCAAGTCATTCTTGATTCCTATTAGAGTGAAACCTCATTCTTTTTTTTGCTTTTTTGGGTTCTTTTGGACCTGGACTTAATCCTGGTGCATAAAAATGCAAAAACTGAACTTGGCCAGTATCCAGCCATCTTGATCTCATGCTTGGTGAATAATGTGTATTTCATTCACATCTTTGCTACTTTCTGAACATCTTATACATATTTTATTTACCTTATGTAAATGTATGTGTATAGTGTTAAAAAAATTTGTGATTTTTTTATTTTATTAAAATACTAAGTCTATCTTGATACCACTAGTATTTCAGACATGAAGATCTTTTTGTTTGAGAATTTGATTTTTCTGTTTCAAAATTGCTTCTGCCACAGCGCATTTTGATTGACAAGTTAATGATGAAAATGTTTGTTTCAGTGGACTTCTTTGTGAACTCAGCCCTGGAAATATAACTGTGAGTATTATACAAGTACATGTAAAGTATGTATTCCTGCCTAGTGCTTCTATAATGCATAATGGCATATTCTGATTTCTCTAAAAATACACTTTGTAGTGTAAAAATATATTATCAACAGGAGTTCTTTTGTAGTTGTAGTTCACTTGACAATAGGAGCTTTCCATGTTTGTGGGAGAAACATTTTTTCTGCATCTTGTAAATTCACTCTGAATTTCTTAAGTTTTCCAGTTGTATTCCATGTTATAACCTTCTTTATTATTCTAGTCATGGTCATTTTTTTATTTCCTCTCACCTCTTTCCTACTTATTCACCAAGCTCTTCCTTAACGGCTTCCTTAGATTTAAAAGCAAATCTCTGTGGCAGAAGCTGAAAGTCACTAAAACAAATCATGAATAAGTTATTTTATTCAGAACTGCTTGATATCATACATTTCCATGTTGAAAGCATAAGAAAATAATATAGTTACAGAAGATTTCAAATAAGCTGCAACATGTTGAAGTTTACTTTGTAAGAAAAGGAAACCTGTCAGGAATCTGAAAGAGACAGGACAAAAAAAACTATTCTTAGCCAGGTTAACCCTTTAACTCAGTCCTATGAGTGACCAAGAGAGAATTTCTCCTTACAGTATCAGTACAATATCAACCAGATAAGTGATGAGAACAAAGGAAAATATCAATTTGGGGATAATTAGTTGATCCAATACTAAATTCTCTGAACCAACATAATTATAAGAATTGTATGGTTGACAGCAAGGAGAAATACAAATTTGATCTGGGAGTTAAAGGGTTAATTATTACATATTTAAGTATTTTTCATAGTCTCCACTGTTTTTTTGCTACTCAGAGATGATCAGTTTAATTACACATGAAATTAATCTATGAGTAACTGATCATTTTCTTAAGGCTTTCAAGACTAGCTGCTTGTTGAAGAAGTATTGTGATGCTGATCCTCGCGTCAACAAGTTGGTTGTGGGCCTGCGTTACTGGGCAAGGGTAAGTTCACCTGGTGTCTCCTTTCCACTAATTTGGCTTTTACTCTTGAATTCCAAATTTCAATATTGGTTCACTGTGAGTTTAGTTACCTAGCTGAAGTACTCAGGTTTGTTTGTTTGTTTGTTTGTTTTTTTCTTGTGTTAGATTTGCAGCATTGATTGTCAATCAGAGGGTGGTTTACCTGGTTACTCTTTTGCTCTGATGGTCATTCAGTTCCTTCAAGTGGCAAAGCCTCCAGTTCTTCCCAGATGGGTGCCACATGAGGTGAGTCTTTTTTTGTAATAGTTTAAAATGATTCAACAGGGTAATTTAGTATCGTCAACGGAGTTGATAATGTAATTCGGCCACCATAAAGAGTTTAAAAGCTGATAATTCAAAGGTTAGCCCTTGATTAGAGCTAACTGGCAAACACTAAAGAGCTTAAGGGCCAGTGCTCAAAACATCAGCTTTTTAGCTCTTTACGGTGGCTAATTTATGTTATCAACTCAGTTGATAAAACCAACTAACCCTGTTATACATGTGCTCTCCCTCTGATGCAGCACCACAGTTTCTTTTGAAACTTCCCCCCTTTATAAAGTAATTCAAGGCTAAATTGAATCTAAGCTGGTATAAATAATGTAATTGGCTGTGTAAGGATGATGTGAGTGTGCTTGGAACAAACAAGAAAATAATCAAACTTAAAAGACAACGGAAAATTTGGTCCTTGTATGTCAGGCAATCAAGACAAACTATCTAACCCTTTAACTCTCATTTGTGACCAAGACAGAATTTCTCATTACAATATCAATACAATATCAAGCAGGCAAGTGATGAGAGTAAAGAAAAACATCAGTTAGGGGAGTTGATCCAATAAAAAATTCTCCAAACTAGCATTTGAGCATTGTATAGCAGACAGGAAGGAGAATTACTAATGAGATCTTGAGAGTGAAAGGAATCAAGGGAACCCACTTGATTGTGCTTCCTCATGCTGCTTACAGTTTAGCAACCAAAGTTCTGAACAGATGCATTTCTATAGTTACATTATCTTCTGTGTATCTTCGTAAATCTCTAAGTAATAATGGATGTTACTGAAAACTAGGGATTTTCTTTTTTCAGGCAATTGACAAAGACAACCCAAAAGCTACTGAAAAATTTGCTAGTGAGAATAAAGAACAGATTGGAACATTGTGGTATCAGCTTTTTAAGTAAGAGTGGAATTAAAAAACCTTTTTTTATTTATAATTTTTTTAAACTGAAATATTTTGTTTCCAATTATATAGCTTTTATCATCAAAGATTGTGCATTTTGGACCGAGCCAAAACTAGCACTAAAAGAAAAAGAAAAAGCTAGCTGTAGAAGTACTACTCATAAGTAGACCCTTATTTCCAGTTTCTTTTAAAA